CCTCTTCCCACAGCTTGACCACGCTACCAGGTGCGTACTTGCCGGCGAAGACACCCTTGCCCGGCGCGTCGACACCGACCCTCGTGTAGACGTCAGGGTCGTCGGCGGGTGTAAGACGAGTGATGACAGCCTTGACGAAGGTCTTGAGGTCGTCTGGGTCCGAGATCCTGGTAGCTCGGAGCCTCTCGCGAGCGAAGATCAGTTCGCGGTTGGCAGCGTGGATACCATCAGCGATACCCTTGGCCATCTGCCTCTCCATGACCTTGCGGACGATGGGGCGGAGGAGAGGCTTGAACAGCCAGCCGAGAATGCTGAACTTGGACTTGCGAAGCTTGTAGGTGAGCTTGTGGATGTGGACGCGTACAGCCTTGAGAGTAAGGATCTGTTCCAGCTTCTCCTTGCCAACCTCGACGTCGAGATGGATGTCGATACCGCGCTCGTCGAGCTGGAAAGATGCGATACCCTCATCGGCAAGACGGAGGAGACCAGAGTGTGCGCGAAGAAGGAAGCCAACTTCATCTGCACGGAACGAGAGACCGTCAATCTTGATGGTGAACTTGGAAGTAGCCTTTGACGCCACACGGAAGCGGGCCTTGCGGAGTTCGAAGTCGTTGTATGTTTCTACCTTGAAGCGGAAAGGCAGGAAGGAGGTGTGGTTGACGGTCTTTCCGGGTTCGATAATCAGGTTCTCGAGGAGCATGTCGATCTCGGGCGTGGAGACCTCCAGACGGGGGATAGGAATGTACTGGATAGCCTGGATTCCGAGAGGAACGAAGACGTTGATGGCGTCCTGAACCAATTCGCTGTTGGTGTAGTTGTGCATGGGCGACAAGATGTTCCAGATCCTCGTGCTCGTCTTGATCAGCTTCGCAATGTCCTCATCCTGCGTCACGGCCATGAACGTTCGCTGGGCTTGCTCAAAGAACACATCAACATCCTGGCGGAGCGAAGACTCAGTTCCAACACCTTGGGCCTTCTTGCGGAGTTCCTGGAACTTCTCGTCGACGTGATCGAAAAAGTCGGGGTCGGTGAGCAGCTTCTGAAGGGAGTTGCCAACGTCGGTCAGCAGATCCTCAAATTCTGGGTCCTTGCGAGAGTGGTCCAAGACCTGGTGGAAGGCGTCCTCGAGCTTCTTCCATTCCTGCTTATCTCCGAACGAGCTGATAAATGTCCAGAAGTTCTTGACGGCCTTGTCCATCGCTGGGTTCGTGTCGATGTCGGTTTCGAGCGTGCCCATGGCATCTTCAACCGTGCGAGAGTACACCAAAGCGTAGCGCTTCAGGAGCTGTGCCAGCACCGAGACGGAGTCGTTGTAGTCCCTCTTCTGCCTCAGGTTTGTAACCGTCTTCTTCAGGCGGAACATGAGAGACTCGCCCTCATCGCCTTGTAGCTTCTGTCCTAGGCTTACGTCTGCCCTCTGAGCAACCTTGGCCACACCATTTCCAACTACCTGGGCTACTTCGGCGACATCGTTGCCCAAATCCTGAGCTGAGGGCGCAGGGCCCTCATCCGCGCCTGGCTCCTTAAGTGCCTTGTACTCTGCCTGTGAGGGCTCAATCTTCTTTGCAGCCTTCTTGGAGACGTTCGACAGTGTGAATGCGGTATCTCTGAAGACTTCGCGTCCGACGGTTTGGAGATCAGAAAGGAAGATGCGGAAGTCTGAGTTGGTAAGGAGGAGGGATCCGACGGTTTGGAGGCTCTGGTATGCTGCTCCCGTGTTAGTGAATGAGATATAGACGCATCTGTGTGTACGCACCTGCAGTAGCATCCGCCTTCGCCTTTGACCTTGTCGTCCGCCTCGCGATATCCTCCACATCAACAGAGATCCTGGACTTGGAAAGGTACCAGAGGAAGTCTTGAATCTGGTCTTCGCTGTTCTTGTGGTTCATCGTGTCGATGAACTGATGAAGCCATTGTTTCGTAAACTTGACAAGCAGGCGTCCTGAGTCGCTCAAGTCTGGATTCTCTGGGTTGAGGACGTCTGCAGAGAGCAAGCTGCGAAGGTTGATGATGACTTGTTCATTCGACGGCATGAACCCCATGGAAAGCGCCCGCAGCATCTGATACGAGTGAAGCTTCTGGTGCACCTCACGCTGGAGCGTTGTATCATCGCGATACTGTCGTTCGGTGTTAGTACGCGTCGCGCTGCAGACAGTTGAGCTGACATACCTGAGGCAACAAAGGACGCTGGTCGTCGTCGCGTTTGCGCGAGCCGAAGCATGATGAGAGTGACATTGCGATAGTTTGTGTCACTTTCACGTGGAGTGGAGTGCAATTGTGGTTGATAGAAAGTGGAGAGAGCTCTGGTAGAGTTTACATTGAAGCTGCACCAAGGTTCCAGGCTCCCAAACGACGCGTTGATCAGGATGACGAGGGAAGCTAGCGCTTCGACGTCATGCCGTTCGTCGATCCCGCGGCTCCACATATGCGCCAAGCCTACATGGGCGGGTGTCATTCCCCAACCTATGGCACCCATGGTTCGCGCATCACTCTTGAGCACGTGGCTTTGATGAGCTCCATATTCTGCAATCGAAGCAAACTTCCCCCAAGCGTGTAAGCGACCACAATGGCGATTGTTCTGAATGTGTTCTTGCGTTCGTACAATGGGGGTGAAAAGCAACCAGATGCCGAGGTAAGCCACTTTCTAGCTCTGAAATGTAGTCGAAAAAAGGTACAGAAAAGCAGTCGTCGGAAGCCGGTTCACAATGATGGAGCGTACTCCGGCTGGAACACCTAGCCGCTTTGATAACAGCTCCAATACTATGGCTATCGTGAACAGGCTCACAGCTACCACAGGTCCATCACAGCCCCGCGGAAGTGTCTCCGTGCGTCGCCGCGTCATAGCAAGCAGCCATAAGGCCAGCTGATAGATGGACCTCATTGTTCTTCAATCAGGCTCCCAGTTTCTGGAATCAGGTTTTCATTAGACGTATGCCTTATGTAAACTGATCGTGTTGTCATTTTACAGCGGGCTTTGTGTTGCCAAGAACACGAGAGCCTTCTAAGTTTGTCAACTACATCACGTGCGATCCGCGAACACGACCATCACAAACAGTCTGTGTAAGAAGTCAGTAGTATTGTAATAGTTTGATAGATGAAGTGAGTAGATGCATATCATTGTATGCAAATTCCTTGGCTATCCATAGAGTTTGTGGAGCGCGAGAAGCCTAGGTAGGTAGATGGCAGCTGTCTAATTCCCAAGATGCGACGAAGGCTGATTTCTGGAAGAAATACTAGGAGATCGGAGACTGTCAGAGACTAGTAGTTTGCTACCCATGCTAGTCTGCTCCGACCATAGGGCTTCATGCGTGTGCTGGATCAGATCTAGTATGTACGATGCTGACTCGCACGCCATGGCTTTCCAGGTGTCAAGAGACGGTGAGCTGCATGACAGTCGCAGGTTTGCTGCAAGGGAGGCAATCCATTGATAATTAGCCACTTTTTCGATAATTGATGCTTGCGTCAGCCAGCCTCCGCGGATGTGAATGTGAATATCGGATGCGGGTAATTGCAATAAAGTTGTCCGTAACATCCCGTGGTGCTGTGGACTGTGGAGTCGCGTGCCCCAATTCTCGGAGGAGCAGGAACTGGGCGCAGAGCCCTAGGGCGGCTACCTTACCCAAGCCATCAAGCTTTCCCCACACAACCGCGCGGGTGATCCACTGTCGCATCTGCAAGTATAGGGTCTGAGACCTCGTCCATATCGCAAAGGAGATCAAACGTGCATTGAATCGGACTTCCGATACTGAGATGCGATCCGGATATCACGGATATAGACAGTCGACTACTCGTCGAGGCGCCCATTCTTCTTGTCGCAGACATGGGCCGAAAGCAATCGGATGCTGCATGCGCTTCCCCTGGCATGGCACCAACGGTCCGTTAGCGAACAGTCAGGGGTGTACCGTGTGCGTAAAAAAGTTGCCCCCAGCGGCTCCGTCTGCGGTACAAAGACACACCGCTCGTAGTGCTTAGCAATTCGTCGGGTCGCGGTGTGCCTTCATGGAGCCGGTGCGGACCCGCGAAGGAGTAGACGGTGATGGCTTCTGGCTATTAGTGGCTAATGTCCATCGGGGCCGCTTGACCTGAGTAACGCGACAGCACTTCAAGGTACCATGTGGCGAATGGCCATGAGACATTTCCCGTCAGATCAACGCGATTAATAATAAGCACGCTGTTGCAACGCGGCGCTGCGCATTGACTGCGGAAATAAAATGCCTCGATGCCTGACCTCGCAACGAGCGCGATATTGGGCTACGGGCATGCTGTCGTTGACCAAAAGAAAACAGCGGTATACCAAAGACGAGGGCGCGGGTGAGAGCCGTTCGGGCTACTTTCCAGCTAGGACAGAGTACCGGCAAAAGCAAGATAGCACAGAAGGTGAGCGGACGAAGACTGAAGCCCATGGAAGAATCCTACGGCATTCCGTCAAGGCAAATATGGGCGTTCCGATTGCTCCCGACTCGTATGCACGTCCAGTCATGACCCCTGCTACCCGGTGGCTGTGGCTGTGACACGACGAGCATCGGCATCCCTCAGGATTCGAGCAAAATTCTGGAAAGACGAGCTGTGAAGACTCTGAAATGGTGACAGAGTGTCCTAGAATGCGATATGATTTGTTTTGAGTGTAGTGTGTGAAGCTGCAGTTGTGCACGCGGCAAGATAGTAAACTTGGGGAAGGGACTCGCGTAAAAGTCACCAACGGGCTGGTCCATGCTTCCTTTACAGGCACACTTTGACGGCGAGAACGGATCTCCTCACAGACTGACTGTTGCGGAACCTAGACCCCTCCGATAGGCTGCTTGTTATGTAGCCCCCCATCCTCCGCGCCCCAGGCGGGCTGTCTTCCTAATTCCTTTTCAATTGCCGACGCGTCGTTTCAGCTCATTTCAATGCAGCGATTCAGACCGCTTATAAAAGTTACGGCTCCCGCCCAAGGCCTCCGTTCTTCAATCCAAAAACCCTCCTTCGTTCGTTGTATGGCCACTATAGCAAACGACACCATGCCCTCCGCTACACGCCCCAACATGGCCCGCCAACTGAGCACCACTTCCGGTGACTACGACCTGTCCTACACGCCCGACGTCCGCAGGACCCTGGGCACATACGGCCTCACTCCCCCCGCCGTCGAGAGCTACGACATCCAGAGCGAGCGATGTATGTCAGACACCGACTATCCACATACCACTGCTAACTCTACCAAGGCCTCAGGCTCCTTGCCATGAAGACGGCGCCCATTGAGAAGTTCCAGTACCTCGTCCACCTCAAGGCCACCAACCCACATCTTTTCTACCGTCTCCTCGGAGAGAACATCAAGGTATGCGAGAACTCAGTAGGATTTCCAGGGCAATAAACTAACATACCCAGGAACTGACTCCTCTCATCTACACCCCCACTGTCGGCGAGGCCTGCGTACGATGGCACGAAATCTGGACACAACCCGAGGGCATGTACCTCTCATGGAGCGACCGCGGCAACCTCCGCAAGATCCTCGACAACTGGCCACACCAGGTCGACATCACCGTTCTCACAGACGGATCCCGCATCTTGGGTCTTGGTGACCTTGGTGTGAACGGCATGGGTATTCCCGTCGGAAAGCTCGCTCTATACACTGCCTGCGCTGGTATCAAGCCAGACAGCACCCTGCCCCTGACTCTCGATCTCGGAACCAGCAACAAGGCTCTCCGTGACGACCCCCTCTACATGGGATCCCGCATGCCCAAGGTCACTCCTGAGCAAGAGAAGGAGTTCCTTGACGAGCTCATGGCTGCCCTTACCGACAAGTGGCCCAGGTACGTACTTTACATCCGTATTCTTTTCAGGAAACTGATCGTGTGACAGCATCGTCATCCAATTCGAGGACTTCAAGAACCCCTTCCCCGCCCTAGAACGCTACCAAGACCAATACGCCATGTTCAACGACGACGTCCAGGGAACTGGCGCCGTCATTGTCGGTGGATTCATCAACGCTGTCAAGGCTTCCGGTGTTCCCGCCAAGGACCACAAGGCTATCTTCCTCGGCGCTGGCAGTGCTGGTGTTGGTGTTGCCAAGCAGATCGTTGAGTACTTCATCAAGGAGGGCTTGACAGAGGATGAGGCCAAGCGCAAGTTCTGGTTCGTCGACTCAAACGGTCTCGTTACCCTGGACCGTGGTGACAAGCTGGCCGAGCACAAGGTCTTCTTTGCTCGTGACGACAACAACGGCCGCCAATACCAGTCGCTCAGCCGCCTCATCGACTACGTACAACCCACTATCTTGATGGGTCTGTCCACCATCGGCGGTGCCTTCAACAAGGACATCCTTGAGAAGATGGCCAAGCTCAACAACCACCCCATCATCTTCCCTCTTTCCAACCCTTCAAGCAAATCCGAGTGCACATTCGAGGAGGCTGTCGTCGCCACTGAGGGACGCTGCCTGTTCGCTTCCGGTTCTCCTTTCCCCTCGATGGAGTTCGACGGCAAGATGCTCACCCCCGGCCAAGGAAACAACATGTATGTCTTCCCTGGTATCGGACTTGGTGCCATTATCTCCAAGGCCGTCTCTGTCACCCAAGACATGATCTACGCTTCCGCGGAATCACTGTCGACTTCATTGAACAAGCAAGAGCGCGCCGATGGCTGGTTGTACCCCGACATCCGCCGTATCCGCGAAGTCTCCGTCATCGTAACCCGCGGTGTCATCCGTGCAGCTCAGAAGAACGGTGTTGACCGCGCTACCGAGCTCCGTGGTCTTACCGACGAGCAACTCGACGCCTACATCAAGAAGAACATGTACGACCCATACACCGAGCCCAAGTACTTCGACAAGAAGGTCTCTCAACAACTTTACGCAAGCGAAAAGTTGAACGGCACCACCGTCGGTGTCGCTGAGGTCACCAATGGTGTTGCTCACTTGTAGCTTTCTGATTCGTCGACATGTTCTTTGGCGTCAGGGTTAGCCACTTAGGTTTACCTTTTTTCTTCTTTCGGTCTTGATATCATTTAGACTGGGCAATGGGTCACAAAATTTCCTTTTCTGTGGGATGGCTGGACGGATTTCGATACCCTACTACATTTAATCGCTTCGCACGATAACTTGTAGTACACCTAGATACCTCCGACCTGGTGCAGCTGAGCGCACTGGAATGACAATACATTATGTTATGGACAATATTTGCTATCTCCCTGACTTCGTTCCTGTGACTTCAAGCGGCCATGATCAATGTCTATCTTCACCCTAGTGTCACATCGGATAGCTAGCATAACTTCCAAGGAGAGAGTATCTGTTGAGAACACCCAAACCGCCCAACAGCCCCCCGATGCGGACCCCCTCACTGTCCGACCCCTCATCCGCCGTCTGATCTCACAAAGATACAGTAAGACGATAAGACGATCCGCACGCCTCGAACACCTCCTCTTATCAACCCGACCAATCCCGTACACCACGCGAACCCTTATCAAAACCCCTCGAACTATAGTAGGCACAGACCCATGCCAGCCTCGGTGCCGCATGCGGTGGCTCATCGACGCACGGGAAGGCCCGCTTCTACCCCGGACCCACATCCACCGGTACGCACTGATTCAATGGTTCGCATGCCGCATACGTGATGGTCAGAGCGGGTCGAATCGGGACGACTTGGTGGTTGAGGTGGCTGGCAGCTGCTAGTGTGTGGCCGTGTTTGACTGCCTGTTTTGGGTATGGGGTGCTTTTTTGCTTTCGACCAGGGCGATACCTCGTCTTTTTACAGGTGATCCCCATGTTATTGGATTTGATGCGATCTGATATCGCAGCCTTGACGTTGTGTATGGTATGAGTGCTTGGACGCAAAAATTGATATCGAGACAGGAAGTTCTATACCAAGCACCATTCTAAAAGACGTTGTGGATGGAGACGACTATTTTAGACAATTCGGCACTTGCAAACATTTCTTTGCGACGGTGGGAAGCTCACTTGGGTATGGTTTCTTATACACTGTCCAGGTAGGTTTTGTACATTCTGCTATCCTGGGCTGCATCTTCGTCGGTCACTTTGTCAGTTCCACTCCAACTTTGTCTTTCAATCTACATCTGGCAATGGGAAAACCTATCTATCAGGCCGTTAGCACGAATAATACAATGTCTCGAAATCGTCTTAGCCAAAGTGTAGCAAGGAGGACACGTACTAGCAAGAAGTTCGCAAACTATCTTAAGAGCTATTCGTGGCGGCTACTTTACTCTCAGAACATGTAAGTGCATCTGCGATATTTGATGGTTTTCATCGAGACTGAGCCTTGCTATCGCGTCTCAACGCCGGGTGCCTATCAAAATAGGGTAGGTAATCAGTGCAACATGTCGCATACCTATGGAATACATCATGATAGCTTGAAGAATGTGTACTTCGCGTTCTTTGAGAACCATTGAAGCGAATCGGCACAGCATACACGATCCATAGGGCGGCTATCGCGTTGCTGTGAGCAACTGACTCACCTTCACCACGTATGATGCACATTGCACCATGCACCACGTGCCGCGTTTACTCTTTACGAACTCACGGTGAGCTCAAGCTCTGGTCAATCTGGACGCTTGGCGGTCCTCTCACCTTGATTATATACATCAGTCTGAGCCGCCTCTCCTCCAACTTCCACCTCCCTCAGTTCATCTTCTCTTCCACACTCCTCCGCACTACGGACCATCCAGTAAACAAAACCAACACAAACGACCAACAAATCATGTCGGATACCAAGAAGGCCACGGGTACCGGATGGAGTGACCGTGACTTGGTGAGTACCTAATGGCAGCTGCACTCTGTCAATCGCGCGATGCTGACCTTGACTAGCTCTCCAGTCTGCTCTACCTCGTCAACAAGAACGGCTCTGTCTTCAACTACAACGTAAGTCCTATTCTGACTTTTGTAATGCACAGAGTACTCCCCGCTAACGTGACGTAGGAGGGCTGTTACCCAGCCGGTCGCAACGCCAGTGGTTTCAAGCAGAAGATTAACGCACTCAAGAACGTTCTCAAGCCGGAGTGGGAGGCCATGGAGGCGGGAGTGCCTGTTTCTGAGGTCACACCCAAGAAGGCCGCAACACCCCGCAAGCGCAAAGCTAAGACTGACGAGGACGGTGGTGACGCCGAAGTCACTCCTAAGAAAGGTCGCGGCCGTCCGAAAAAGAAGAAGGAGCCTACTCCGGAGGTTGAGGAGGATCTGGAGGATGAGACTGTCAAGGAGGAGGTCAAGGACGATGATGACGACGACATCCTGAAAGAGGCTGAGGATATCTGAACATCCATCCCGATCACCGTGGCATTGCAGGCATGGAGAAGAGGCGATCGACTTGAGCGTTCTGTAACGCATCTCAGCGTCTGGCGTTCGGAATAGGTTCACGGCATACTTTGAATGCTCCGCCGGTCTTGTTTAGCTGCATAGTCAGCTTTCATAGGGCATATGCATCATAGGCATTTTGAACAAATCAAACCAGTATTGAAACCACGTACCTGCTTGATACGTTCTACCATATTAAATCCCTCACTTACCAAAGCGTTGCAATCTCCCAACCCCGAATGACCCACGTGTGCCAGAACTCACCTTCACCTGGTAGCCGCCAGTGCCAAGCTCATCCTCACCGTCACAACAGCGCGACCTCCACACATAAACCACTCTGCCACCTCCCAGCTTCTTCCTTTCTACTGCCTCGTACTTCATACCATCTTCTGTCCACCGCACAGCACAACACCTTCAACACACTTAATTACAATCCAGTACCGTCCGTCAATCGCTTCATCATGTCAGGCGCCAATAGCGGCAAGGCCCTCACTGCCTGGACAGATAAGGAGCGTGTATGTCGCTTCCCACCCTCCACACCATACATGCTGACAAAGAATTACAGCTCGTCTACCTCTTCGCACTCATCGAGAAATCCAACGTCACCTTTGACTACAATGTTAGTAATCCCCAACTAGAACTTTCCCTTCTCAACACTGCGAACTAACACAACGAACAGAATACGCCCCGCCCCGCCGGCCGTTCCGTCATCGCCTGTCAACGCATGATGGGCCGCCTCAAGGATACCCTCAAGAACGAGTTGGAGGCTCTTATGTCGGGCAACCCCATTGAGGAGGATACCCCCAAGAAGACTCCTACTCCGCGCAAGCGCAAGGCGAAGGGCGAGGCTGCTGCTGACGGAGAGGGTGAAGTCACTCCTGCCAAGCGTGGTCGCAAGAAGAAGGTTTCTGAGGATGTCGTCGGTGATGAGGAGGAGGAAGTCACTCCCGTCAAGCCTGAGCCTAAGGAGGAAGATCTTGAGGAAGACATCTGAGTGGACGGTCGGTTGATCCTTGCGAGCTTCAGTTATTGACATCTTGGCGACGTTGATGCAGCGAAGCGATTCGGTCATGCATGTATTCTGATCAGCACATATGGGCAGCTCCAAATCTTTTGAGCATTGCGAGACATGAGAAGCAACATGGAAAGACGATGATTTATGCAAAAAGTTCATGACATTGAGCGAAACAAAGAAAACTTCGATGGGTATCTAAACTATTCTCTCAACAAACTATCAGCCGTGAAACATCGTGATATGGGCGCTCCTTCGTAGAGATAGGCCATGCAAGACTCCACACACCATTCAAGCATATATGCAAAAAGAAGATCGACCTCGCACTCGTTTACCGTGTATAATCCGGTTTCGTCGCCTTGTTGACAATTGGTGGCGGGCCGTCTGTATCCGGGTACGGTAGTGGTGCACCTGGAGGGGGTCTTGCGAAGTGAGAGCCAGAGGGGGGTGATGTGCGTGCACCGGATAGAGGCGGTGGGTGAAGTCCATCCTGCAAAGGTGTCTTAGGTGGTCTAGGTGGAGCGTTGGACATGCGATCATCCCAGCTAGGCGCAGAGCTCATCCAGGATACTGGACGTCCCGCTGAGAATTGCTCATCTGAGCGACGTCCTGGCGACACTAGTTCACCTGAATGCCGGGGATGGAAGTCGCTGAATCCATCTGTACTCGCCGCTGATTGCGGATATTCGTCTGATGACACAACCAGGAACTTGTCGTTGTCTGATGGCCGGCGCGGTTCTGGCGGAGGGCGGAAGGCGGGATGTATGTTTGTGTAGTATTCTGGCGCGAGCTCCTCCGCTGGTAGTTCGACTGCCATGGGCGCTGGATCCGGGACGGTAGGAAGAGGCTTGTTCGGTGCTTGAGCGCCTGGCGAGAATGGCGACTCTCCCTTGGCTGCGCGCTCCCATCGCACTTTTGCGAAGTGTATCCTTGCGATCTTTGCTGCCGAGTCAAGCGTCATGCCTTGTACTCCCTTGTCCGCCAAGTACATGCGTGTGTTCGTGCTGATTTCCGCGAGTGCATTCCACTCATTCATTCCGAACTCCCCCACACCGACGTTGACGTTCAAGCGGTAGTAGTTCTCAGGGTTGACTTGTCTTTTCGCAAGGTGATCCTTCATCTCCTTGTGTGTCCGTTCGCAGTCTTCAATCTTCTGGATCAATTTCCGTCTCGCCTCTGCAAAGTCGCCCATGCCGCCGGAAACGAAGCCTTCCCACCACAGATGCTGTTGTGCGTTCGTGCCTTCTGGCCGCTTTCCGGTGCCTATGCTTATGAAAACGCCAACTTCGCGCCCAGGCCATTCGTTGCAAACAGCTTCGTCGAGAGCCATAGGCGCTGGGTTGTATTTACCGGAGCCTTCATCGAGGAAGACGGATTGGCCGATCTGGATTGGCTTGAATGCTAGGGCGGTCGCGCAAGTTGCTCGGCCGGCTTGCCATATCGTGGCGTTTGGTTCGATTGGAGGTTCTTTACGGGAATCGTAGGAGCGGAGGAGAACCTGGCCGTTGCCAGACTTTTTGGTGCCTTTGTAGACGGCTGTGATGGCACTGCAGACAGTTAGCGCATTGACATATTAACGACATGCGTCCTACTCACGTCTTAGTGCGCTCTTCTCTGTTGTCGTATAGCTGGGCGTGAGGGTTTCCCCACTTCATGGCGGCTATGCGCATATTCACGGGAGTCATGCCAATCTGACTGTAGTTGCTGGCATTACTAGCGCTTCTTTGCATGCGGCCCGATATTGCGCTCCCGGGGGTCATGGGCGGTGCATCCTGCCCGTTGTGATTGTCGTTACCCTCGTCGTCGTAGATTGTGTGTTCGCGCACGCATTGCATGATGGCCTCCTCCAGCTTCGACGCCTTGAATAACGTCGATCGATACGGTATGCCGGCAAATGTCTTGTCGGTCTCGAAGACTCTCCTCGTCATGCGCACGTAGACGTCCTTGCAGGTCTCAACGTCCATTCTCAGCCGCCCCAGCATGATGGCGATCAAGCCTCCGGTGCCGGTGCCGACAATGAGGTCGAAGTGTTCGCATGGCTTGGGTACTTCGTGCCGTTTTGGGGCTCTGCCTTCGGTTTCGACAAAAGTTCGGTGCATCAATTCCTGGAGGATGATGAGCATGGAGTACCCCCGCACACCGCCGCCGTCTGTCACATGGGTTAGCACCTGCCATACTGAGGCCTTACATCATATCACCAACATACCTAACGACAGAACGCGCAGCGGCGGCCCCTTGGTCGTGTCTTTCCGGCGCACTCCGTTGAGCGCCATTTTCGGTATACGGTATGCGCTGGCTGTGCCGAGGTGTTGTTGATGTTCAGCCTGGTCAGGCGCGTTTGTGTGCATAGAGTCAGGCCTGGGGAAGCGCTGATGCCTGAGGTTATCAAGCTATCTGTTGTCGGTGGGCTGATTTCGCGGCTGAAAAGTGCTGATCTGGTCGTGATACTAAGCAGCAAAGCGTGGCTGAGTGGATTCCAAGCCTAGGCGCGCGCGCTCGAAAGCGCTCAAGAATGGTTGTTGTTGGGTCGGTGGCCAGGTGAGGTGCGCGAGGCGTAGGGAAGAGTCACAGGAGCGACAGGTGATGGGTAGGGTGGTTCACGTGCGGAGGTTAAGAAGATTCTTGACTCTTGCCAGTCGTGGCCAGCAGCCCAGTTGGTTCACAGCGTCGTCACTCGTCATTCGCCAAGCATGACATGAGCCGAACTGCACCGCCACCTCGGTTCCGCTCCTCAGCCCACTAAAACCTGGTTTACCCTGCAATGGCGACGTTGTCAGCGCCCAAGATCTTCCGCCTCTACCGGTTTTACGATAAAGATCTTCATGCCCTTGCAGCGGCAGGGCCATGGCCCGCTCTGCTTTCAGGAACTCCCCTCCACTCCCACGACGCGAACCCATGACTATCCAATCGCCAACTCCTCCGGCCTTGCTTCGGATGGTCACGCTTCCACCAGCGTCGCCTTCTCCGATCGAATAGCCATGCCGAACCCATCCTGATCGAGATGAGTGGAAATGCCTCGTCTCGTCAACATGGTTGTTTCCACTCCATCGGCTGCTGAAGAATTTCGCCGAGGTATCGCAACACCGACTCAGCCCTAAACCTGCTGTGGACTCTGACCACTTTTACGTATATTGGAATCGTACGACACGCTTTACGCAGCCCTGCCCAGGTGTAGTTGGGTTTTGAGTTTGCACGTGATGTTACAGAAGTTAGCTTGCTGATCACGACACCGACGTACCCATACATGAGCTCTGCGTTACAAGCCGGTATGTTGGTCATAGTCTGGTCGAGTAGATGACACGATTTAGTTTCGGGACTGAACCCAAAGTGAAGGAGATGTAGTCGAAGTCAGCCCCAGTGAGTGCAAGAAGTGAATGGCGTGTAGGGGAACATGGAGGTAGTGACGCATTCACCCGAAGAGTGCGGGCCTGTTGGGTGAGAGACGAGCTGTATTGCCGTATTGTTGAAGTGTAGGTGGAGGGAAGCACCCCCTTCCAGTTTAGGCGGCGCAGAGCGAACCTTGGAACGACAACCGGCCACTAGTCAACCGAGTCTCAAGCACAATTTCTTGTGTCAATTGCAGCCCCAACCCGACTGAATTTCCTCATCTCCCGAAAACAAGTCTCAACCACTATCGCACCACGATGGCCAACACCTCGCTTCTTCTGGACTTGCCGGCCGAGCTCCGCAACACGATCTACCAACTTGCTCTCACCCACTCAGAGCCGCTGCATTACCGCATGCCTAAGGATGGAGAAGACAAGCCGTACCTCTACCATCGCGAGGCACCTTTCCAGCAGGGGGATGACGAGAAGCTTGTCGAATACAACCAGCTCAAGTATGTTAACAAGCAGTTGTATGCAGAGACTGCTGGTTTAGAGCTCAAGTTCAACGAAGTCACATTGTCTGAGGCTTCCGGACATGAGTCTCCGTCCGACATGCTTACTGCCTGGGTGTCGTCGATATCTATTGCCAAAAGGTCCTGGATTAAGACCATCAGCATCACATGCGACAAGTATGATCCAAAGTGCTTCGATAGTGAGAGCGCGGAGGCTGTCGCACGCCTCGCCCGACTCTGCAACGACATCCCCACTATGAGAGTCAAGTGTTATCACCCTTTCTGGACATACGCCAATCGCCGGCACTACGACGTTGTCTTCTTCTTTATGGCGGCTCTATCCATTTACTATGCATACCGTGGCGAAAGCACCAAATACCTTATTTTCGACGAACCCGAACATACTATGTTGAAAGAATCTGGAAAGAAATGGAGAGAGCCATGTAAAGGCCCAAAAGTACACTTGGCGCAACTGCAGGCCGAGAACTTAAGGTACTTCCCCACCTTACCTGCGAACTTCACAGTACCCGTCATCAAGGCAAATCACAGAGTTGCGGAAGATGGCGAGGTTATTCTAGAGGCAGAGCAGTGGATCGGCAATAAGTACTTGAGAGAGTGGATGGAGTATGGTATCTAGAGAGAGAACTGGAGGGTGTCGCATCTAGTCGACAAGGCCTGAATATATTCTCGGTCTCCTGCTGGGACCCGATATCTCGACGATGATACCTGGCCCTTGGTTTCCATATCTACCTCATACAAGAAAAAACCTGAACAGGTCTGCAGACTACATGACACCAACAACTTGCAAAGTAGGTGATCTAACGTCAACGTAGACTCCAGGGTGTTCGGGGTTTTCCTAGGTTGGCGTGTATCGAAAAAGAGTCACGATACTGATAGTCGGTCAAGTGGGGTAGATTGGAGCTTTCTCTTTGTCTTAGACAGCATGCTAGCAATAGGCTGAAAAGCTTCGAAGAAATACCACACATCTTCGATAGTCATTCCAAGTTCTTGTCATAATCTCTAGTACTCTACCAATCCGTACTTGATACAGTACATGTGGAGCTGATAATACCATGTACAAGACCAAGAGTCAACATGTCAGCTTAACCGTGCTATTTCTTCTTCGACACTTCAATAAGTCCCCTGCTCTCCTTCATCCGCCACTGAATCGCCTTGGCAAGCTGGTAAAGCACCTCCAACGTCGGCATAGCAACACCAGCATCCTTACCCGCCCTCAACGGCTCACCCAGCAGATTCTCAAACTCGATGAAGTTGCCCTATCAACGTTAGCACCTCGTTCTTCCCACTTGAACCACCGGAGTCAGGAACTAGACTCACCTTCTCCACATCCTGCTGCATGCTCGGCTTCAAATAGCTCTCCAACGGATCAAGATGAATAGTCGCCTCAACCACATCCTCCGCCAACTCAACACCACAAACTGCCTTCGCAGCCGCAACAATCTCTCGCATAGCCGGCCTCACAAGCCCATCCAACGCCCCATCAGCAAGTCTCAGCCGCCCATCATCCAGTCCCGTAATCGCGCAAATCGGGTTCAAACAGGCATTGAACACCAGCTTCTTCCACCTATCATGCAAAACATTAGGCGAGTACTGACAATCCGTCTTCCCACCTTTCCCATACAACGCCACGAACTCCTCAGCCCGACGCTCCGGCACAGCGGGATTAATGTTGGAAGTGGGGAAAGCGCCGATAAGCAGCTTATCGCCTTCGTCTTGGACGATGTGGCCCGGTGAGGGTTCTGCGCTGCCGATCATGGAGACAGCGGAGAGAATGGGGATGTTGGGATGCGGGCGCAAGAAGGGCTTTTCGATGTTGAGGCCATTTTGCAGGAGGATCAGAGTGGTTTTGTTGCTGTTTTTGGGCAGGGCTGGCGTGATTAGGTCGACGGCGGTGGGGGAGACGTCGGGGATGTTTTTGGTGCAGAGGACGACGTAGTCGTATGGTGGGAGGTCTTCTTCGGTAAGGTTGGGGATGGTGTTGCGGACTTGGGTGTGTTAGCTTCTTGTAGTTGCGGATCGGCAGGTGAATCGCTGATAAGGTTTGCAACATACCAACGCTAGGTCTCCATTCATCCAATCTGCCATGGTCGCAGCTTTCGATTGTGTATCCTTTCTCTTTGACGACGTTGTAGTTAGATCGCAGCACCACGGTCACCGTTGCGAGACCGCCGAGTTCGAGGTTGACGGCTGCAATGGCACCGACTGCGCCGCCGCCAATAATGAGGACACTTTTCTTAGTATCAGCCATTGTGTGAGGGGAATCCAGAGGATGATGGAGACTCACATGAGAAGTAGCGTCTGACCCAATCGACAAGATAGGACGCGACGCGTTAGTGGGGTGGAGGGGTAGCCACTACTTAGAAATGACTCCGTCAGTAACGATCCGCGCGGCTGTACCTGCTGCATCCAGAAGCCATCACTTGGCACCGATCACGCTGTCACTACCTGCGTTAAGTGGAAATGTTTTGCGGTCCCTTCAATCGAGCTCCATTTGATGCATATGTAGGTTACAGTCCGTAAATTCGTGGCTGGTGACCTTTTGTCGCCAGATCTTCCGCCTCACACGCCTTCATTCTTATCGCACTGATGATTGATGCATTGCTTGAGTCGAAGGTAGAGCCGTCCATTCCATCCGCCCGAAGACTACGCCGAGAGCCCAGCAAAAGAGAGAGAAAGAAGGTACACGCTTAGAAGACGAGAGCGGCACCCTTGGTCTTCTTGTCACCACCGAGCTCGAAGTGCTTGCATCGCTTGAGGGCGAGCTACGAGTATGTTAGCGATTGCGAGGTGGAAGAAGGTGAGCGGAGCCTACCTGTGCCTTGGTCTTGCACTGTGTGCACTCTAGACGGAGAACGACCTTCTTGGTGGTCTTCGCTTTCTGCATGGTGTTAGTACTCATCTTTTGAGCTCGAATGCGTGCGATCGTACCTTGTGGAAGACGGGCTTGGTCTGACCTCCGTAACCGGATTGCTTGCGGTCATAACGACGCTTACCCTGCGCGAACAGAGAGGCCTTTCCTGCCTTGTATTCTACACAGTCTCAGTATACGGGTATGCGAGTGTGTGGACGCGGATCACTAACGGGTGACCTTGTGCTGGGTGTGCTTCATGCACTTCTTGCCCTTGCAGTAGGTTCGGCGGGTCTTGGGAACGTTGACCTGGGAAGTCACAGTCAGCATTCAGGCTCAATGCTTTTGAAATTCCCAATTTCCTGTACTGGCGACGAATGCGAAGCGAGCGACCGACGTAAGCGATGGCGAGGGATGTGCGGTGATGCGGAGGTCGCGATTGAGATCATCCTGGTGAGATGTTGCGACCATCAAATGCCAGCATCTACACTGCGCCCGACAGCTGGGTTCAGATGCGGCGCGATACCAAGGGCCCGTGATGGAGTACGTGTTGAGTCGCCGCCTCT